CCTCTCAAACCACCTTTTCTCTTTGTCCAAAATGTTAACATTCTGCTCTTTAAAAGAATGTCCTTTGTCCTGTAGGTGTAGATGTACCTTATAGTCTTGTCCCGAGGAGGTCGGTCTTCTATGTTGGGCCATGCGTCTGTGGAGAGGTTGTTTGGTTTTCCAATATAAAGATCCGAGCATTTCTCTCTGCACTGAAGTGCTTACACCACATATTTGCTCTGGTGGTTTTCTCTTTAGAATGCACTAGTCTCTGTTTAAGGGTCTTGTTTGATTTGACATGTTCTGGGATTTTGTGTTTGGATAAAAGCCTTGAGTTTTTCAGAGACTCCTGCAACATATGGGATGAACAGTAGATGTTTTTGCATTTAATCTTTTCACCATTAGGTTCTGCTGTGTGTCTTTTGGATTTCCTTGCTGATTTGACAAACTGTTTGGGTATCCGCAGGTTTGATCTTTTTGGTTGTGTTTCTGTTCTTTGTGCCACCCTTCTGTTTTAGTAGGGACATGCTCGGCCCAGTTTTGTAAGGTTCTGATGACTGAAAGTTTGTGTTCCAGTGGGTGTTGTGAGTCAAAAAGAAGATATTGGTCTGTGTGTATGGATTTCCTATGGACTTCAATGATGAGGTTTCCATCTCCTTCCACGCTCACCGAACAGTCCAGAAAAGGTAGCTTGTTGTCTGCTGGTGAAGGTTCTCAGTCATCCAGGTCATAAACATAAAAAAAACAAAAAAAAACGTAAAACAATCCACTGGACTTGGTTTCCAAGGTTTGAAGATGTTTCGCTTCCCATTCAGGAAGCTTTTTCAATTCAAAAGGTCAGGAATAGTGTTGAGTTTGAGGTTTTATACAGTAGATGATGGGTATGGGGTATTGCAGTCTAACAAAAGAAGCCAAACGACCCCCATTCCAAATGAGTGGACCCCTTTAGCTGATACAATTAGCATGTTTCCAACACAAAAACAAGACTTTGTTTGGCTACTGTATAAAACCTCGAACTCAACGCTATTCCTGACATTTTAATTTGGAAAAAGCTTCCTGGATGGGAAGCGAAACGTCCTCAAACCTTGGAAACCAAATGGATTGATTTTTTTTTTTATTTATTTTTTTTTTTTTTAGAACGAGTAGCTTGTTGTCGTTGGCATCCTCTCTGGTGAATTTGTTCATGTGTCTTGTGTGATGTTTCCTGACTGTTTCCACTGCCTCTGTTATAGGCATGCATGTGAAAAGAGAAGTAACATCAAAAGACACCAGGGTTTGTCCTGGTGCCATCTTTAAATGTTTGACTTTGTTTGCAAAGTCTTTGGAGTTTTCTATGTGGTGTGGTGTGTTTCTCACCAAGGGGGCTAAAGCCACCTTCATGCTCATCAGTTGGTCTGGAGTGTTTGTTCTGGTTTGGCCTGATTGGGTTTTTCCTAAGGTTGTTTTGTCAATGGGTCATTGTTCTGCACAAACATCTCTAATTTGCTCTTATCTCTTCCAGAAGTCGCTGTACTTTACTCCTGCTGCCATTAATAACCTTTCACCTTTGACCTTGTGGCTCAGATTAAGTTCTTGTTTGGTTATTTCTTTGAGCTTCTTTCCCTGACTTTGGGCTGAAGATGTTTTGCTCTTTGGAATAAACTTGATCTCTGCTTATCTAGACTGCAGGTAGTTCCGAAATGAACTGGGAGGTTTCACCTTGAACCCCAATCGGCCTCGGCAGATGGCCGCTTACACAGAGTCTGGTTCTGCTGGAGCTGTCTTTCTGTTAAAAGGGAGTTTTTCCTCTCCACTGTCACTACAAGCAAGAGTCAATGAGTCGATGCAATCAACTGGTTTTCCTTAGATAGAAAACTTTGAATCAATTTGACTGGATGATCTGATAAACTGTAAAGTGCCTTCAGATGACATGTGTTGTGAATTGGCGCTATATAAATAAACTGAATTTGTTTTAATTGAACAAGGCCTTTGCTGATGTCTTTCAACCCTCGCTCTCTGCAAACACAGACCAGTATGACTGACGTTAATTCTTTTTATCTTTGCCTAAGAGGAAGTGTTTACTTGTACCGGCTGCACGCTTTTACTTTGAAATGCAGTCAGGGTTTGCGTGTACATGATGTGGGGACGAGGGGCCGGTTCCCCTGCACCTGCTCAGGTGGTTTTTCCCAAGCTGGAAGCCGCAGCAGAACAGATCGGCACAATGAGACCAGAAACAAAGAGAACAAAGCAGCTGAGAGTTTCAGTCCTGTGGTAGAAAGTAAAGAGGATTGAAAAGAATTACATGCATGTGGACTCTGACCCCAGACACACACCACCGCACACACACAGGCTTTGTAATCTCCTCGCCCTGCTGCTGAATGCAGCTAAAACGTGTAGACAGAAGAACATGGAGGAGAGCTGCAGCTGAGTGGTGGGGTGGGGGGGTCATGCTTAGCGTTTCCCTTCAGGTGAGGACACCGCCGGCTGCAGGAAACATTAGGAAGCGTCCAGCTGCTCCACCCAGAGCAAACACTGACCTCTGTTCTCCGTAAATATCAGGTCCAGTGAAAGGCTGTGACATCATCAGAGGGGTAGGGGCCTCCAGGTGTGGCAGAGCTGCAACATGTCTTCCCAGTTGACCTTTGGAGAAGTTAATGTGATTGTTCCGCCTTCCCTGGATAGAGGATCGTCCTCTTTGTTCCTCTTGGGCAAAACTGCTCTTTGAACAGAAGACGCAGGAAACGCTTCGGTGTTCCTGTAAACAGAACAAAGTCGATTCTGTTGACGTCACTCTAACCGATCCCCAATGTGTTGCCTTTTTTTTGGGCCTGATTCTTTAGGCAGATATGTTTTTTTTTTTACCCTCTGGGGAATTCTAGGAAAGGAGAATCTGAGATATTTAAGAGACTTTCAGTCCTCTGGAGGCTGAGGGAACGACAAACAGGTCTTCAATCAACTCCAAATATTCAGAGAAACTTACTGACGTTCAATCCTCTGATTTTTTTTATCTAAATTTAAATTTAGCAGCCTTTGAAAATGGCCATTCCCGGTCAAAAGCCAGTCGAATGGCAGTCTACTTCCCTCCAACTTCCAGCCACTGCAGAGACCCCATATTGCATATATTTTACTCTGACTTCAACCTTTCACTGAATTAAAAGGCCTGACCAGGAGATAACGCTTCTCTTTAGATCTTAATATCCACAAAGATTGATGTTTAAAAATGAATTGTAGTGGACCAGCCAAGGGCCCATCAAGGAAAGTAGTGAAACTTTGGATGGCTACTACTGTATGACACAAAAATGACCTTGTTTAATGACCACTATTTCATTCAGTCACACAATTTCCCTCTGATCTCATATGATGACATAGTTAATTATTTAGTGAACGCTCAGTGCAGACACAAAGGCCCTGAAATCCACAGACTCTTTCAGTCAATGTTTTACCGCCTAAATAAAAGACGGCCAAACCCTTTATGTGAATAACAGAGTTCTGTTTAGTAGAACAATGGAAAACCACGTATGTAGCCTTTATAGCTAGCAGACACAAGCTACATTAGCTAAGCTAACCTGTATATTAATTAAGCTAATGTTTGCTGTGATCAGTAAATATCAGATATTTATAACACTATCACTCCATTAATATCTACTTTCACCATGGCTGTCTTTGATACAAGATGAAGTGATTAAAAAAATTATTTGGAATTATTCCTCAATCATAATATTTCACCATTTATGGACTGATTGACATTATTTTAGCTGGATCTAATTTGTCTGTAAATGTTCTAACTTTATTCAATTCAGTTTATTTCTAAAGTGCCAATTCAACCAGATCATACAGTCAGATCTGTTCAAAGTTTCCTATCTAAGGAAAACCAGTTGATTGTATCGACTCATTGACTGGAATACAATCCCTCACACCAAGCATGCATATAGCGAGAGTGGAGAGGAAAACCCTCCAGTAGAACCAGGCTCAGTGTGAGCGGCCATCTGCTGAGGCCGACTTGGGTTCAAGGAGACAGAAGCAGAGATAGAAAAAGAGCTGCGTTTCCACCTGTTTTCGACTTTCACAGTTTATTTAAAAAGTGCAATAAAGTATGTTTTTTACAAACATGTATTTTTATTCGTAATGTTAATTCACTAACAGTGTCTCTTTTTAGAGTAATAGAAAAAATAATTGATTGATGAATCTATTACTAAAATAATTGAGTGTTCCTGATGGATCTGATCTGGAAGCTCTTGGTGTCTCTGCTGCAAGAAGGAAAAAGATGTGGAAATGAGAGGAAGAGGCTGAAGACCTTCCTGCTTATTGGATCCTCCTTTGAGTCTGTTTGGGTTCAGATTCTACTTGGTTCTGTTATTTCTGGGCCTTTGTGTGTTTTTTAACATTGGGCTTCTTTTCTCCCTAAGTGCTGCCTTGCAGGTTCCTGCTCCTCCTCTCACAGTAGATACAGTCAGGTTACCATGGATACACACTGGGAATAAAACACAGAGTCCTGGGAAAAGTAATCACACGTGGCTGGACGGTACAAACTGGGTCATAAATCCGCTCTGGGAGGCTTTTGTGTGCAGAGTTTTAATTTCAGCCCGGGTTGAAGGTTTGCTTCTGTGCAGGAAAGTTTTAATGACACTCTGAGCCAGACCCGAAAGAGGTTCTGATGGGTCGGAGCAGTCACACGGACAAGGTATGAGACGATATACGGTAAACATTGAATGCAGCAGATGAGGTTTGAGGCCTGAAATGCAGCAGGAGTCACACTGATCATTTGCAAATTCAGAGTTCATCCTAAATGTTTCTTAACGCTGCCATCTATGTTCTAGACCCCTACTCAATCCACACCATGACATCAGCTGTTTACATTTTATGGATCTAGGAAGGCACCAGCTTAGGAATAAACGGTCCATCAGAAATGTTTTTAAGAAACTTTGGAACAAAATGTAGATTAAAGGTGTAGGTTTTCACTACAGAAGGAACAACACTGCTTCCTCTGGTTGTGGTGGCGTTTGTTTCTCTGATGATGATCTTTCCATTGATCTGTGTTGCAGCTGAGCGTCACCGGGCAGCAGCATGAACGGATACGATCCTCCAGCTCTGAACGTCTTCAGCTCCAACATCAAGTGAGTCACATGATGATGATGTCATTTAACCTGTGAAAGATGAATGAAAAATAGATTCCTGCTAAAAATTACCGTATATTCTCCTGGATTCAGAAAGAGATCCGTCTGTAAACTCCTTATTCTGTTCATGTGAGCATTTCTGACTCAGTCAAATCAAATAAGTTTAAACTACTATTAAATGGATCTCAAGCCGAACCAGACGAGCGTCTGAGAAATCTGACAGGACTGACTCTAAAAAAAAGGCTAAGAATTAAACAACACTTCATTTTATCCCAGATTTTAGGTATATTTCTAAGGATATGTTTAATCTGAAATGTTGCATCAGCTGATCCCAGATCAGTACTAATTTGTTGATTTTTATTAAAGCCTCTGCAGCTAAATTCAAACAGTGATACTGGTATTGTGGTTTAAAATGAGGTTAAAACGTGTTAGAGATTAGTACTGTAGGTTTGAACCTCCTGATGCTTGGATCCTCCTTTAGCAAGTTGGGAAACCATAAAACTGTAGCAAATGTGTCACAAATAGAGAAATATATTTGAGCTTCTTTTATTGTGTATAAAGTTTTGTAATTCGCCATATTCCAGTGATACTAGTGAATAAAGGAATAACTGAGGTGTTTTAAATCATTCTGAAGCTGCTGTTAATTCAAATCTCTGGAAGAAAATATCCTATTTTTTTCCAGGCTTCAGTCAGAGGCTTAAAGTGAGACTTTCCACACTGGGAGATTTACACGAGTAAATCTGCTGAAAGCTTCGTAATGATCCGTTGATCAGATGTTCAGGTCACATGACCAGTTTGTGTGTGTGTGTGGATGCCATCTGTCATCCCCGTCATTTATCTCATACGTGCTCAGAATAAAGTGTGAAAATCTGCATGTTCAGCATCGAGGGCTGCAGCTTCACTAACCAGGAAGTGATCAGAACATCAAGATTTGAGGCTCAATTTATCTGAGCTGATTGAAGGGCCCAGAATATGAGATGCTTCTTGTTAAGATGGATGGATAAATGATGAATGAATGGATGAATGGATGGATGGGTGGATGGATGGAAGGATGAATCCCTCCCTCCAGTTCAGTCTGTCCTCTCTCACTGTTCTTGTCTCTGTTGCAGTGGACACAAAGCTCCGTCTCCAGGTCCTTCCAGAAACAAAGCCAAGAGTGGTGCCAAAGCTCTGTATGGTGAGTCTATGTTCTGGTTCTGGTAGCCCGGTTCTGTGAATCCTAATCCATGGTACCTGCTCTAATTTCTCCTCTCGAACAGGATCAGAAGAATCCTATTTTCTTCGCTCATCTTCCAAACAGAAAAAGAAAAGTCAGAGTGAGCCGTATGACTGACAGTTGTTTTGGTTCTGATTCTGTCTTTAAACATCTGGAGTGGAAAAACTGGAAAATATGTTTAAATGGATCAGAACCCTCATGACATTTGCTCCTCGTGCTGCAGTGACGGTCTATCTGGTTCTTCATAGCCCTTGTATAGATCCAGAAATGGATTGATGGGCTCAGTATGATCCAATAGCTTATAGAGGGCTGATCGGGTTGGTGCGTGCTCAGAACGGACAGGTACATGCGCAATGCTGTAGGGGAGTAGTTAAATTCTGGAATCTGTTCCAGCCCATCCAGGACCAATGATCTGGATCTGAACTCTGCAAACATTCAGGAATACTAGCGGATCAAAGCAGCAGTGATCCTGTTTATGGGGTGGTGTTTATCGATACCAAATGGAGCACATATGATCTGCTGTACTTTAGTTTAATACTGGGATTTATAATTGGGGTCATTCAATTATCCTTGAACTCAAATTTAGGCCTTTTATTGGTGAACTGGAGCATCGGCAGGTCTAATGTTCCAGCCATCTGGCTTAGGCTGCAGTGATGTAACGGCGCCCCCTTCAGTCAGTCAGGGTGTCTTCCTGGTTGATCAAAACCAAACAAATGATTAAAACTCTGAAGAGGAAATCTGTTAAAAATTGTTTCACTGCTGAGTCCCATGAGGTGGCGACAGGAAAGACCAGTCAGGTCACTGCAGCACACGAGGAAACAAGTGTTGAACATTTTTTATTCTGTATCTGCAGTTTTTCTCTCCTAAAAAAACAAACAAAAAAAATCTGTTTGTGTGTGTCTGCAGTGGTTTTTGTTCCATTTTTCATCTGGGAACTTGTAGACTTTAGTTTTCTAATCTGGTGTGAGTGGATTGCTGTGATTTGTTCCTGCAGCCTCAGCAGGAGCCGGTTCCTGTGGAGCTTCTACCTGCAGTTGTTTGGAAAAGGTCTACAGAGGCTGCAGGTTCTGCATTGATTCTGAAATAAAATAGACAAAAACTGAGGCTTACAGAGTGTCCATGAACACATCTAACGAGCTGTGTGTGAATTGGTGTTTATCTGCAGCCTCTGCAGCTGTGAGCAGCCTGATAAACTCTCAGCTGGACCTGATAACCCGAACAGAGCAGATTGAGCAGCTGCTGACATCAGTCTGTTCACCCATCTCTGATTTATAGATCAATACTGAATGATCTGTGGTTCAGGACACGAGTCGGGGCGCGTGGTGTCTTATCTTCACCTGGCAGGTCATATGACTATTTGTTTTTCACTGGACAAAGTTAGAAATGTGGGACAAGATGTTCGTAAAGCTGAAGGAAAGCTTTAGGAAGAGGAACTAATGTAACCTTGATTTAGATTATTGAGGAGGGAAAAACAAACTGAAATCTGTTTGGAAATTATGTTGATCTCCAAACAAAAGCTGATGCCGTCTTGCTTTAGATAAAAATAATTAAGGAATTAAAAACCATTTAATTTTCTGAATCATTAAAAAAACTTTAGGCCTAGAGGAGAAGAAGATAAACTTCACAACCAAGATGTTCCAACCTGGTTCTGGTCTCATGGAGCGGTGACACATGATGAAGTTTATATGCAAAGACTGTAAAGAAAATACTTAAGTTAAAAAAAGCTAACAGTGATCCCTCCTTCAGCAAAGCTAACAGTGATCCCTCCTTCAGCAATTCAGTTACTTATCTAAGCATACTGGGCTCATCCTTGTTCCTCCAGTTCCTGAGGATCCTCAGATCAGAACTTCTCTGAGAACCCATGTCTGGTTCTTCAAAAATGGTGTCATTAGTGGATTAAAATACTGTAGAAGGGGGGGAAGCGGCCAGTTGTGAAGTGTGAGCAGCAGTGTGAGTGTTCACTGCTCCGCTCTCACCTCTTGCTACCAGATAGAGTTGAGGTGTTGTTAAACAGCAGCACCGCATGAAGAGAGAGGAGTGATGATTGTTGAAGATGAAATGAGCTGAACTTTTCTGTGAATCACGAAATGGCAGCCAAGCAGGGACTGGATGTAGGCCGCGTTTTTTTCCACTTAAAATGTAATGCAAAGAAAAACGATGTTGGCAAAGGAAGAAATAAAGAATGCTGTGCAGAGGTCGTTAGGTGGCTTTAAAAAAAATGGTTTTGATTTAGCCGTGGAAGGACTGTTAATCATCCTCCCTTACCTCCAGCACAGATCCTGGCCTGTCAATGCCTACTGCCCAGCATCATTGCTTTCTGCGGGTGTAGATTTACAAGGGAATCTGGCCAAATCCCACAGAATCAGAGCTGCGTCTGGATGAACCGAAGTAGATCTTTTTTTCAGAGCTTTTGGGTTCTTCCAAAACTGACGGTCTCCCCAAAGGCGATTCAAAAGTTGTTTATAGAGAAACATTTAGCAGCAATCCGTGATGTTAAGTGTCACCTTGGCAGGAAATTACATGGGTTGCCAGGGGTTGCCAGGGGTAACGACAGGTCCAAAGTGAAGGGTCTGCGAGGCTGGTGATATCTTAAAAACCAAATCTGGACAAATTATAGTTTTACCTGCAGAAATGAAGCAGCAATGAAAAAGTATGCCAAATCATTTTGATTAAATTCGGAACTTAATGGGGGGGTCAGCTGATCACTGGATGACCGAAAAATTATCTTTAATGAAACAACAGTAGCACACAGGATCTTTTCTTAAAAAAAAATATATATATATTTTTTCATTTTTACAAATGACCATTTTGAATGCACTAATCAAACCATAACTATTAAGTCAACTGAAATTTTTCTCACATCAGTTGGGTTTCAGCTCCACGCAGCGGGTCCAGGGTGTTGACACTGCATCTGAAATGCAGAGCGGTACACTACCTTTGGGGCTGGTGGAAATCACTGCGGACATCACATGTGGTCTGAATGCAACAGTAGAAGACACAAATGGGTCGTCATCTTAACAATGTGGAAAAATTCTTACAAAAAAATGAAATCTCAAGGGTTTGATGAAAAACTTAAAATCCATGTACTACAGAAAGATGTCACCAAAAGGCCAGTGGCTCCATTTGATCATCCTGCTGGAAGAACTTACAATGATTAAGACTTTGCTTCTGTTCTTTTAGAGCAAAGGAAAAACTACACCAGAACCAGCATCAACAGTCTGACGGATACATCCCAGTACCATGTGGAGGTAAGTTCCACATGCTTCCGTCTGAATTTTGCCATAGAAATGGGTCCCAGAGTTCAGACGTTTGTCTCTCTCAGCACCTGACCACGTTCGTGTTGGACCGGAAAGATGGGATGATCACCGTGGACGATGGCATCCGCCGTCTGCGCCTGCTGGACGCCAAAGGGAAGGTGTGGACTCAGGAGATGCTGCTGCAGGTGGAGGACAAGGCGGTCAGCCTCATCGACCTGGATTCACAGGTAGGATGGGAGATTTGGATGCTCTGCTCCTCTGAAGTCTTCAGGAGTGTCAGCAGCTCTAGTCCAGTGGCGTTTCGGGGAAGGACAGAGCTCCAGCAGGAGTAAACAGGAACTCTGTGGTCCTGAAGTTTAGACGGCTACAACAGATGCTGGGAGGCATCTCTGGAGGCAGCATCAGAACCAAAACCACAGTATGAACATAAGAAACATCAGAATAGTTTTAGATCACCAGAACTACGGACCAAACTACTAAATGAATCTGTGGGCTGTAGATCTATAACATCTGAATGTCATCTGCATAGAAGGCACACTGGAAGCCTTTAGAGGGGGTCATCTGGTTCATTTAAAGATTACATTGCAACATGTAGCCCACTGGCTTTCTACTAGAGTCTCACTTTCTTCCTGATTGTGAAACCCAGAGCTACCAGTGGGTAATGATTTATTTTTTACAGTCTGCAATTCTTTAGCTCTTCAAATTACAGAGTTGGATATGGCTGCTAAGAAAAATAAATATACATAACAATATACATAACAGTCCATATGAAGTTTAGCAGTGCATTTAAGATATCCTTAAAGGTACTGTGGAGGATTTTCTTAAATTTTTTGAAAGACCTGCCCTCTCCTTTTGATAAAGGTCTTTCTTTTCTTCTCATACACTTTGTAGAAACTTTTTCTCTTACAAGTGTTGGGTCATTTTCAAAGAACCACAGTGAGAAAGGTGAGCTGTCTGAAATAGAGATGTCCCGATCCAGGTTTTTGCACTTCCGATCCGATA